TTGTATTTACAACACTGTTCCAGAACACTTCAACCCAAATATTCAGATGTGTGCAGCACATTTTATGGAGGACTGTTTCCTGATCCTGGTAGAGAAGACTACAATGCCGGCTGTTCTGACTCAAAGACTGTAAGTAAGTTTTTTATATTTAAAGAGTTTTTATATTTTATATATTTTTAAAATTAGTTTTTTGAGCAGTGTAGAGTAGCGCTTGTTGTTTGTCGTTTCTCCGATCACAAATGCAGACATGGTTTTATGTTTACGCGGCGCGATGCAACGCAACACGTAAAAAGACATTATAAGTCATTATAATCCATAATTATGTCCCCACTGGATGCAACGAATGCCACGTTTATAATGGCTTTTCATGTTTTTGTCTCGTCGCTCCGGGCATCATCACAATATGGTAGGGGCGTAACATTTCCGTCACACGCTTGAGGTATTCAGCCAATCACAATCCACTGGATAGCTGGCCAATCAGAGCACACCTCACTTTTTCAGAAAGATGAGCTTTGTAAAAATCTATGCGTTTCAGAAAGGCGGGGCATAGAGGAGAAACAATAATGTACAGTATGTGGAAAATAATTGTTTTTTTAACCTTAAACCGCATAAACACATTTCATTACACCAAATACACAAAATAATGTTCTTTTTAGCTGCATGACCCCTTTAAAATCGCTTATAATTGCGCATGCGCGTTTTACTTGCAGTTTAAATATGTGCAGTGTCAGATGGTTAGTGCAAATTGTCACATGACCAGAGCAGTTTATTTCCTGTTTGCACCTTGAGAAGATGATAACTGTATCAAAGCTCCAAAACTAAAGGCTAGTAACTTAAAGTATGTCAACATAAAGATATGACAAAGATTTTTGGTACACATTATCTTTAGGGTGTGTAGTATTAATATATGAATTCATTTTACAAAAAAGTAACAATTTTGAAATGCGTTGATTTTTTTTTTTTGTCTTTTATCTCAGTGTTCCTATCAATGTTGCATAAGGTTTTTTTATGCATAATAATAACCCTAGAATGTGATCAAACAGTTTAAAATAGCTGGGCTAAGATATATAACAATTTTTATGACTGCAGAAATATGTTAATTCAGTATACACATTATCCCACTGGTCACAATTGTGATTTTTCACACACTTTTCCAAAACAAATTCAAAAAATAATTATTGATTATTTCAAAGCGTTACTAATGACACATCATTTGGATATTTTCATGTCTGGGGTTAATAACAGAATGTGAACAAATGTAACAGTCTGCTGTTTTAAATAAACGTTTTGAATGTAAATGACCATTGTTTAAGCAAATTGTTATTTTAGTTTGTTAAAATATTAGTACAGTTGTCATTCAAATTTTGAATTAGTTTTGAGTAGTTTTCATATTTTAATATGATTTTAATTTGAATTCATCTTCTAGTCATTTTGATTTTGCAATTGTTATTATTTATTTATTTAGATGTCAATAGTTTTATTAATTTTATTTCAGTTTTAGTACTTCTACATAAATTTTTACCTTGGCAACTAACTAATAAAATAAGTTTATATTATTATTTTATTTCAGTAAACACCTTCAACACATCCACACTAAACTATAGCTGTACAGTACTTAAAGTTGCTCTGAGATTTTAAGTTTCTACTTACCTGATGAGATATTCTAAAAATCTTAACATACTGTTCATTATTTCACTGTCCATCTGTAGTTTGATCTTAGATGTTTTAAATACATTACATTATTTGGTCAACAAAATAATCACAGATTGCTCTATAATATTTAATCTACTCAGATCTAAATACAACTATAAACTATACAAACCATAAACAAGATTCTATGATGACAATAATACGATTAATCAAAGTACAGTATGAAACAATTGATACTGGAATGTTACAAAGCGTGCGAAAAAGCACCATTTCCATCCATTCAAGAGAACAAAATTATCACTTCCTGGGAAACTGGCCCAAAGTACCAATAATCAAAATGGAATTTGCAGCAACTGGGGAAGCCACTAGTTGAGACTCATTATATTTCTTTTCTCAAACAGTGTAGCTTATATATATATATATATATATATATATGCACCTATCCTCTTGTTGATTTTATTGATGACTGTATTTGAAATTAAATCCTTGTATATATATATTAATCTTTATAGAACCTAAAGATATGTCATAATATGTATGATATCTGCTTCTTGTCTTCTCCTCTTGTGGATCTGATGTCATAAACCAGAAGTGCTACAGTAGCCACGCCCACCAAAGCAGAGACGACCAATCGGATCACAGCTTCAGTAAAACCACAGCAATAGATGTGGACTTCTGGGGAAAAACAGAACTGTAGTTTCCAACAAAGTGACTTTAGTCGCTGTGAGGAACTCAAAACTTTAAACATACTGTAATGCTATAAAAATGATCCCTATTTTGTGAAACAGAAAAAAAATATGGGTGACTTAATTGGGTTTGTGTGAAAAAATAACCGTATCAGCGCTGCTGTACCTGAACATGTCTGACAGAGTTCACCAATGTCCAGATGTTGAGTCTGGTTGCTGATGGGATTGTTGAGCACACAGCTGTAGCTGTTTTTATCCTGATATTCCACCTCCAGAGGTAGAGAGAGACTGATGCTGAGATCAGACACACTGATGCTGGACAATAAACTGTTTCCTTTGTACCAGGAGAGAGTCACATGACCCACATTCACCACTGAACACACCAATGAACAATTCTGCTGTGATGATGATGATGATGATGAGGATGAAGAACATTGTGAAGAGTTACTGCTGATGACAGGAACAGACAGACGAGCTGAAAACATGAGAGAATATGGTTAATAACAATGTCATTTGATTAATCATTTTTGTAATGTAATTAAATTATGATCTCTACTCACCACAGACAGAAACATTGAATTTCTTTGATGACAGTTTCACTCCACTAATCTCTAGTTTATAGAGTCCCGTATGTTCCGTTGTGATGTTTGTGATGGTCAGAGATCCAGTTTGAGGATCCAGCTTCAGTCTGTCTCTGAATCTCTCATCAAGATCATCAGATGTGGAGAAGATTCCAGCATCTCTACTGATTTCAGCTATGAGAGTGTTTTCAGCTCCGAATTTCCACTGTATGTCATCGTTTTCATGTATTTGAGTAACATCAGTGTGTAGAGTGACAGAATCTCCCTCCATCACTGACACAGACTCACCAAACACACCTGTAGCACAAACAAGGCCAGATTTGACACAGATCCACACACAGATGGAAAGCCTTCCATGACTTTTGTAGTTGCTAATTTTTACTGCAATTTTCTGCAAAGTTCTGCAGAGGTTTTCCATTTGCATGTCATGTAACATCTGTTAAATTAATACACGCATTGTAATATTTAAAAGTAAGATATTCATAGCAGCAAAGAGAAAAAAGTGAGAAACTGAAAATCACTACAGTAATTTAGAATATTTTCAACGTCTAGAAACATGTGAAACAAGCACAGAATCGAAACTGAAGTAGATTTCACAATAGTGGCTGATTTGATTTATCTGTAAAGAGCTGCAAATGAAAATGATCCTAGCTTGTTATGACATAAAGCTGTAAAAATATATGTATGACTTACCAATCAGATGCCACAAACAGAACAAAACAAGCATATGAAACATTTTCTTCAGCCGTTCGTGGAAAGTCTGTTCTAATAAGACTATCCGCTTAAAAAAAACTCCCCTCGACAAAGTTTAACCCTCCTAGTTCACACCCCTGTTTTTATACAGTCTATGGTTCACACACACATGCACACACGCACATGCGCTCGCTTTTTGAATGTATTATGGTTATAATTTATCATCTGGTTCTTATTGAATCTTTAATCGTTCTTAATGGTGGGAGACATTCTCTGTTTTTATCATTTAACACTGACAATGTTTGAAAGAAATTACTGGATATGCTAAATATATGGAATATTATGTAAATCTTCCTAGATTTGTAATCATTTGAAATGGTTGAAATAATTACATTCTCTAAAATGTCGAACACAAAAAGTTAATTTAAAACACAAAGTTAAAACAGTCTCCCATCTCACAATCACCAGTTTTACTTAAGTAACATAGCAGCTCATCTGAGTCAAAGTGAAACCTGCTGTGGTCTGTTTCCTTAGAAGCGTGTTTGATTTGCTGGATGAACAGCTTGTAGGTGTGATTCAGTTCATGTGAGTTTAGTTTGTAGTTGAAGAGCTTCCTGTTCTGCTGTTATGAATCTCACAGTCTAAAATAACTGCTTAACAATGAAATACGGTACTGAATCAGTCCATCAAAGCTGATGTTTGAAAAACAGCCAAATGAGGCCTACAGGTCAGAGGTTAAACAAGATTATTACCCATTATGTATTATTGAAGACACACAGATTGGCAGCTGGCACTAGCAAGGAGACTAGAGTATGATATAAAGCCAAAATGGTGGACTAGAATTTTTACTGAAATGCAGCTTTGATGTGGGGGAACCTACCAATGAAACTTTTTATAGAAAGTTTTGAAATAATATAATATAGAGATATAGAAAAACAAATTTCCAAAAAGACTGATTTGAAAAGGACATATGGTTATAAGTAAGATTGTTCATTTTAACACAACGACATACGTATAATTTTGGCATTGGAGGGGACATAGCAACAACATTTAATTGTTTGATAAAAATTATTGCTAAGGAGAATTTCCAAGTATGGAAACTATCCAAAGCTTTGTTAAAAGCAGTGAAAATTGTATGTCTATATTCATTCATGTGTCCGCTTAAGGTGTACATTTATTAGACCACTTTTTTTTTTTTTGGTTAACCTGGTGGCAACACATCCCTTACGAAAATTAATAATTGTATTAGTTTAACAGTTTTACTACAACGGTAACCACATATTAACTATGGTTTTGCTACATTAACCATAGTTTAACCATGGTATTTGTAGTAAAACTGTGGTTATACAAAAAAAAAACAGTCACCACACTTTTACTATAGTAAAACCATGGTTATTTGTATTTCTGTATACTTTTTTTAATATAACTGTACTGCATTAATGGTTTGATGTTTTGTACTGTTTAATAAAAGAGAAAAAAATAAATATAAATACAAATAAATAAAAAAAAGATTCACAACAGCTTCGAAGTTACGATCTTATTCAAATGATTTGCGATCCGTGCTCCAAAGTTCTAATCTTAATCAAGTGATTCATGATCCACACTCCGAAGTTCCTAAATGATTTGTGATCCACGCTCCGAAGTCCCGATCTGAATCAAATGATTCGCGCTCCGAAGTCCCAATCTGAATCAAATGATTTGCGCTCCGAAGTCCCAATCTGAATCAAATGATTCGCGCTCCGAATTCCCGATCTGAATCAAATGATTCGCGATCCGAAGTCCCAATCTGAATCAAATGATTCGCGATCCGAAGTCCCGATTTAAATAATCATTGGCAAAGCAACATTTATATCTGGACTTTGGAGCACAGATCGCGAATGATAATAATTCGTGAACCCAGTCCGAAGTTCAGATCTGAATCAGAAGATTCACGAACCCACTCAGTTTTGATCTAAATTAAATGATTTGATATACGCTCAGAAGTCCCAATTTGAATTAAATGATTTGCGATACTCGAAGTTCCGATCTAAATAAGATGATTCGCAAACCCGATCAGAAGTCCCGATCCGTTATACGCGCTTTGAAGTCCCACTCTGAATCAAATAATTTGCGATACGCGATCCGTTTGGATCGCTTCGGAAAACTGAATCATTTTGTGACACAATGGTTCGGAGGACTATACGTGCTTTTTAAATTCATTACAAGAGATGTCAAAATTTGAAAATGAATGGCTCTTTTGATCTGGTTTTTGCTAGTGAATCACTTGAAGTGAATGATTGAAGCCATGAGTTTGAATCAATCGGAGCGTTTCGCGTCTTCATCCATGTTTATAGGACATTGTCAGTACTGGCTTAGCTCGCTAGTTTTATGACATTACCTGAAATAAGCAGAAAAAGTATGATGTTTACAAATAAAATGTCAATATTTCTATTCCACAGATTACAAAATAGCCTACAAGCATATTCAGGTGAGGTAACCGGTTTATCATTCACTGAACGTTTTAAACACTTTGGCTAACTTATAGCCTATGTTCTTACTCCACACATGTATTAAATGTAGCCTACAGCCTTGAAAGTGCACATTTGTCAAGCAGAGGCGGACTTGCCCATTAGGCAAAGGTAGGCGACTGCCTTGGGCCCCCAAAAGCCGACGGCCTAAAATGCTTTTCATACCAGATGCGCATTAAACGTGGACGGTTGCCGTTTATGGTGTTTATTACCACGACAACCATCTGCGTGTCCGAGTTGAATGTGCTTCTTGTGTATCCTGCTTGCAGCAAAGGAATATCATGCATCTGAAGCTGTAAATATTGAGCAACAGTTCGTATTGTATGTTTATTGTTTTAAAAGCCGCTTACTCGTTTCTGAGAAGGACCCTAGTAGAGGATGCATGCAGTTACTTTTTTGGTTGATATAATCCTTACAGTGTATTCACACCAAACGCGAATTTAATTATTTGCGTGAGTAGATTACATACAAAGTCAATGCAAAGACGCGAACTGTTACGGGGCTGACGAGACGTCAGACTATTGGTTTGACAAAGCCAAGTACAAAGCTTTATTAACAGACATGGTTAGAGACAGGCAAGGGTCAGACATAGGCAACAGGTATATAAGGGCAAGACACGAATATTCCTAGGGCTAGCGTGGGTCTACGATCGGCAAACAGAATCAACTGTATATATACAATAAATCCAGGTACAAGGCAAAGGTACAGGCAGGGGCAAACAGTATCCGAATAGGGCAAGACGAGAGGGGGAATCCAAGAATCACAGGCAAAGAAAACAGACAAGGCAAGACTAAGATAAGGCTATGAAAACTAGACAGGCTCCGTAGAGTAGCTATCGCTATGAGAGTGATAAACACTATACAATACTCAGCAGTGAGAGAGAGGAAGTCCATGGCTTATGTAGCATGTCTAATTGGATTCAGCTGTGTGTGTGTAATCAGTGCATTCAGCTGTGTGTGTGTAATCAGTGCAATGGATGATGGGAACTGTAGTCCGGGTGAAGTGCAACAGTAGTGTGGTGCAAGAGTCCATAGTAGTGAGCGGGTGATCTCTGGTGGTGAGCGAACGGAAGTGCATGGACCGGATTCGTGACACGAATAGAGGCGAATTCGCGCCAGGTGAGGCGAATGGCGCGAATGGCGCGAAATGCGTGACGCGTTTGCCGCGAAGGCAAGATATTTGCCTCAATCGCGTAAAAGAATTAGCTAACCTAGTGATAGTCAGGGTCACTCTGAATACAT